AAGCTCTTGTTCAAGAAGAAGAGGGAGGAACAAATGCCATCAATTTCGTTCAGGTAGGTTTCTTAACACATCTTGTCCTTTAACTATGTTTTCCAGTTAAGAGTTTTACTTCCGATGCTTGTTAGTTTTTTTAATTATCAGCATTGGATGCCCATTTGTTTTGGGGATTGATGTTTTGTAGATATTATGGTCTTATTACTTTCAGTATTTCTCATCTAGACTGCATGTGAAAACAGAAGTATTGAAAGAACAGTGAAACCAAATATGCTCATGTTTTATCATTTTAAGAAAGGTTAATAAGGAATTTTCATTGCAGAATCTACTTGACCTTAAAGATAGGTTTGACCATTTCCTCCATAATTCTTTCAACAATGATAAAATCTTCAAGCAGATGATTGCATCAGATTTTGAACATTTTCTCAACTTGAATCCGAAGTCACCAGAGTACCTATCTCTCTTCATAGATGACAAACTGAAAAAAGGAGTAAAAGGGGTAAGTGATCTTTTTATTACTAATCTACGTTTAAGAACTAGACATGTATCATTCTTGTAACTTAAATTTTATTGTTGTTACAGCATGATATTATAGAAGCTGCAACTAGATATTTAGCCCTGATTTATTACACATACACATATATGATGTTTTAGTATTTTAGCAGTGTTATTTTAAATCAGATTGCTGTCTTCATTTGTCATATACCTCTGGTTTCTGTGTGAGTCTGCACTTCTCACTGTGATGATAGCTGTCTTCTAGGTTGTAGCACCATGCAGTGTGGTAGAAGTTTACCAACACTTCAGAGTTCTGGGCTCATATTCATATTGTCATGCAATTGAATCCCACTCAGGGCACATTTTTCTTATTATTGCTTGCAAATGTAAATGTGTTACAGAATATTGCTACTATTATTAGGGTCTGTTATATTTTTGTAACTTATTTTTATATACAGTTTCTTTGTTAAATTTGCCATATATAACCCCCAAGTATCGCACCATCACCTTGTTTGTGTTTGTTAACTTACAAACCACATTTCATGTAGAATTTGGAGGTATGTTTATGATCTGTCTTCACAATAAATTTCACATGCCTAGCTACAATGGTTTATCAATTATTGCTGTGAAACTTGGAAGATAAAAAAGTATGTTTGCATGGTTACCATGTTGTTTATTATATTCTACAGAAAAATTGTATGAAGAAAATTGTATATTTTTCAATGATCTATTACCATGCATAATTTCAGGGCCATACATTAAATAGTGCTAGTGTCACTGTGTCCTTACAAGTCAGCACATCTGCCATGTTGTTATTACCAAGTGTAGGAAATTAAAAATATGGGGTTATGAGGTGTCGTCCATTAGCATACCATTTGTACCAGGTTTTATGATAATCTAGCAAATTATTCAGAAGTTTAAACCAGGGACACAAGGACAAAGACAGCATGGTGATCTTGCAAACATACTTTCTTTCCTTAAGAAATAATATGGTAATATTTTCAATATCTGTACCATACCATGAATGCCATAAAATGGATTTTAGACGAAGTCTTCAGCATATTTATTGTTCTACACCAGTTTATCATAAAGATATCATACGAGGCTCGTCCACAAAGTAAGTTTCCCTGGGGCCGTTTACAGAAACAAAACACAATTTCATGAAAATATTTATAGCAACAGATACAGCAAGTGTCCAGCTATTTTTCAACATATTCGCCACCGGAATTGAGACATTTGTCATACCGTGGGACCAACTTTTGAATACCTGTGTCGTAGAAGTCGGCCGCCTGGGATTGGAACCACTGTGTGACAACCATCTC